TACCGAAAAAAGTATATCCTTATTTTTTTTTATTTTGAAATCAAAGCGCCCAAACTTTACCATGTATTTTATATGGGGAAAAACAATTTTTAGTAGAAATGGTATAGAATAGTTAAAAGTCAACAATTTTCTACCAGAAAACTCTGTTTATCTGCTGGGCATGACTGCCCCATAGCATTCTTCGGGGTTTTTGTGGGTTTTTGGCGGACCTATAAATTATAGTTGCGATGAAAAAATGGTTAAATAAACAATTGGCTATTATTATTGAAAGTATCCTGAAGAGAACCAACGTTCTCCGATCAAAAAATATTGATTTTCAAGAATTCTGTAGCATTTCTACGAAAAATTTTATTTTTCCCATATAAAAATACATGGAAAACTTTGAGCGCTTAGAGCGACCTCTAAATATTTTTTGATTTCAAAATAAAAATAGGGGTATACTTTTTTTCGATATTGTTCTATCCTAGGGGGTGAGAGCATTACAATTCCGACTTTGCTGTTTTTGGACCACCCTAATGTACATACATATGTAAGAAGTAGTGTATGCCAATATGTATTTCAATAGCTTCCCAGTAGAACTTGGTAGCATCATGAGATTGCTCGGTGAGTACTCCCTTGTGTATTGTGGGAATAACCTCCAACAAACCCCGTAAATGGGCAATAAGGGAGTCAACCAGAAAAACATTGCACATTCCTCCCAAACGAGCAATAAGGGAGTACTCCCATAAGCGTCATCCGGCAAGCATATTGTCCAATGAAAAAAAAATACTGTTTCTATTCCCCTCTAATCCTGCCTTATGTAGTCAAAGGAGACTACTCCCACATTGCACCATAACGAGCATACAACAAACACATCATTTTGACATAATTGTCTTGACAATATTGTCCAGTGTAAACCAAGGCTTAATATATCACTTTCAAAATGGCATCAAGCCATTTAGACTGATCTGTACCCAATGTAGATGGCGCGGTAAAATGAAAACTGAATTGTCAAACNATTTTGTGAAACTGTTATTCAAGTTGATTACTTAAAATTGTTTATAAAAACTTTTAAATTTATGTATTTGTCAGTGTTATTGTCGCTTATTAACATTTTATTTTTTAATATTTATCTTTTAAAATTATTTTATTTTAGTTTAATACAAATTTTTTCAACAACTGTGCACGCGCCAGTTAAATGCAGTCCCTGAAAAAAACTTACGTGGTTGGTGACGCTTGTATTTCACATATGTACATACTATATGTACTTTCGAGATAAGTAGGTAGGAAATACGGCTTGAAGAATTTCCATTAAGAAACTCATACAGTCATTAGCTTGTACATAATTATTCAACGGTCACGTGCAGTCGTATTTATGATAACTAATTAAAGTTAAACTGTTGCCAGTCAGATGTACATATTTTTCGCCATATATGAAATAATGACATCTTATTTTGAAAAATTGAGATGTTTTTCTTATTTTTTAATGATACATTCTCCCAGGTAGAGAATGTTTTTCCCAGCATTGACGTCTCGATTCCAGCAAGTACCACATTTTTGGCAAAACTGCAGCCTGTGGGCGATTTGGACGTCAGGTTTACGTTGTAACATTTTGCGAAAAGTTTGGTTGTTCTGAATTCATTAACCATCAGAATATCTGCATGCCGTTGTTTTTGTCGAGTTCGCAGCAATGTATGTTGATCCGATGCAGATTAACGTTTTCTCTTCTTTGTTTGGTACCAGTTGTTGCGCAATTTGGTTGCAGGCTGTTTTGTCGGCAAATGTATTTCTTCAGCATCCAAATATTGTTATGGAATATAGTCAGAAGTTTATTCGCGTTTTCCACAAATAAATTCGACCGATACGAACTATCGTACAACTTGAGGTTTTTTCGCAGCATATTATACTCCTGGTCTATTGTATACTTCGCTTTTTTCTTTAGCATCAACTGGTAATAACAGTCAAGAAAATTTATGGGTTCAAAGTTTTCTTGTTCCCAACGTTTCATCAAGGTAAAGTGAATGTATCTTGATAACTCGACAAATAGAGACGACATCTCCTCCACATCCTTTTGTATTTGATCATGCACGACGATCGTAAATCTTTTTCCACCACGGAATAGGTTATTTTATTACATTCACCTTCTTTGCTGCTTTCGCCAAGTGGCCTTTTGCGACTCATGACGAAAAATTAATTTTATTGCAAATTTGTAATGTACCAAATTTCTGCTGGTTCACGAGAGTTAAATCTGCAGAGAACCATAAGTAAATAAAATTAGGTTAATTTATTAGCAACGACGGGAATTCTGAGATTAAAAGGTGACAGGCAGGTGACATTTTTAATACAGTTTTATTTAAACAAACTATAATATATAAAAAATATATAAATTTAGTTATATACATTTCAATTACAATTCTAAAAAAATTTTGTTTAATTTATTAGATTAAAAGGTGACAGGCTAGTAGTACATACATAAATTTCAGATGAGTTCTACTTACTAGCTACAATGAGTTCTACTGTAAATTTTTCTTACCTAAATCCTTAAATTTTAAATTCGCTGCTGAAAGGCTTATAATTTGTGCTGCTTCACTGGGCTTAAGCTTAACCTCCGACTCGATTTTCANCATTCACCTTCTTTGCTGCTTTCGCCAAGTGGCCTTTTGCGACTCATGAAGAAAAATTAATTTTATTGCAAATTTGTAATGTCCCAAATTTCTGCTGGTTCACGAGAGTTAAATCTGCAGAGAACCATAAATAAATAAAATTAGGTTAATTTATTAGCAACGACGGGAATTCTGAGATTAAAAGGTGACAGGCAGGTGACATTTTTAATACAGTTTTATTTAAACAAACTATAATATATAAAAAATATATAAATTTAGTTATATACATTTCAATTACAATTCTAAAAAAATTTTGTTTAATTTATTAGATTAAAAGGTGACAGGCTAGTAGTACATACATAAATTTCAGATGAGTTCTACTTACTAGCTACAATGAGTTCTACTGTAAATTTTTCTTACCTAAATCCTTAAGTTTTAAATTCGCTGCTGAAAGGCTTATAATTTGTGCTGCTTCACTGGGCTTAAGCTTAACCTCCGACTCGATTTTCAGTACAAATTCTTGAGCTTGAGCTCACCCTTGCAGTGCAAAAATTGAGTCTGAGCTTAAGCTCACTTTTTATGCATAAGACCCACTGTCTCGCTGTCTTCACGCGAGTTAATCTGCAAGGAATTAAGAATAAACAATTTTAGTTTAATTTGTTAGATTAAAAGGTGACTGNTTTGAGTCTGAGCTTAAGCTCACTTTTTATGCATAAGACCCACTGTCTCGCTGTCTTCACGCGAGTTAATCTGCAAGTAATTAAGAATAAACAATTTTAGTTTAATTTATTAGATTAAAAGGTGACTGGTTGGTAGTACATAAATTACATAAATTTCCACTTCTGTATTTAAATATAACTCTTAAATTTAAAATTCGCGGCTGAAATACGCCAAAATAGTGCCGAAAATCAATCGATTGTGCTTAAGGTGCCGGCTGCTTACTAAAGGCCGAAAATGGCACAATGCACACTCATTTTCCATCACTGATATGTACATAAATTTCCACTTCTTATTTTTCTTAGCCAACACTTGAATTATGAGTCGCAAGTGAAAGTATTCTGGTAATATAGATAAAGCACAAAGTTTAGAGCTCGGATTTGTGGATTCTTTGTCGTAGAATTAACCATATTTTTATAAAAAATTTGCGATAAATAAAATAATTAAAAAGCAGATGCCCGTTTGCAAAAAAATTGCGGTACCTAAAATTTATTGATTCGACTGTACAGAAATTTCCACTTCTTATTTTCCTTGCAAACACTTAAATTATGAGTCGCAAATTATTTCACATTACATACTTACAACACAACCACTCAAACTACACTACTTTAAACTCACTCAAAAAACATTTGCTATAAATTTCGAACATGTATGTACGTACATACATACAAATGTAACAAACACGAAGCCAACATTCACTTTTATAACTAAATATAACCTTTAGCTTAATACTACTATTAATAATAACTCATAATATAGATAAAGAGCACTCACCAAATTTAATATATAGCACAATTTTATCTCGAAAGTCCAAACTTTTTTATGCTAAAGCAATTTCACTTCTTAATTCAACTTAGATAGGGATGTTAAAAGACATCGATGTATCGAGCAATAGCGATGGTCGTGGCTTCAAGCATCGATGTTCGTCGATGTTTTTATGAATCCGATTTCAAATCAAAACATCGATGTTTACTAATTTTTACTAATATTTAACCATTTCATTTTGTGTGCGTCTTAAAATTTTAAGGGAGCGTATGATAAATAAGTACTTTTTATAAAAATCCTAAATTAATAAATGTACATATGTAAATAAGATAAGAAAAAATCAGCAAGTTTTCCTATAATAACATCGATGTTTTAATTCGATACGTCGAACTACTATCGATGTAATTTTTCGAAACATCGATAATGTTATTGCGATTTAGAATCCTAGGCCAATCACAGCGCATATTCTATTTTACAACGCCGAAGACGACCTCTGGTATTCTGCAACATAATAGCGTATTAGCGCTAGACAATGGCTATCAAAGGCCCTACACATGCATTGATTTATCGGCCAACCGGTTGACCAACCGATACAACTTGGTGGTAAATAAGCCGTGTGTGGGCAAGTTGGCAAACCTTCGTCAAGTTGTTCGTCAGGTTGGAGAAAAATCAATAATTTTTGATTTTTGAGGCAGATTGTCAACTTTGATTGACAAGTTGGCAACCGAAAATGCGATTTCATTTTTTTAAAGGCGCATTAACGTTGACATGTGATTTTTGGTTCGTTTCGCTAGTGGAAATGCGTATAATTTGTGATACGCCCCCTTTTTGTCTTGATGCCATTCACATCCAAGTACATAATCTGCCTTATCCTGAGTTTCGCCTAAAAGAAAAGAAGCCCGAAAATTTGTCATCCGCCCATAATAAAACCATGGAAACCAAAAGTGAAAAGTGAGCCGGTTCGGGGAAAATTTAACTCATGATTTAGCCACTAAATTCAGATCTGGCGGTAGTTGCTTTTGTATTTGAAATACGCTTACTTGGCCACTAGCATTGCCCGCTGCTACCATATATTCAACCGAATCGACAATTTTCACGCAGGTAATGCGTGCAGCAAACTTGCGGGAGGGGGAAAAGAAGGATTAGAATGTAAGGTATTAGAAATGTATACATACTAAACATGAAATATTTCTATCACAAAAAATGGGTGTATCCTTTTTAAGTATGAGTCATTTATGCAATTTTTTTGGGAGTTGGGGTACAAGGATCAAATGCTTCACGACGACTATTCGAAAACAAGAATTGGGATTACTCACCTCTGTGCGTAACTTCTGCAGTTCGCCGGTGTACCGATCATACCATAAAACTATGCCAGCATCACTACCCAGTGCCAAAAACTCTGTAATTGCATCGACGCAAGTTATATTCAAATCGGCCGGAAAAATTCCAAGTGAGCGTATCGTATGCACAGGTATCTTTTCCATTACATCCGTTAAAGGCGCCCATTCTCGTATCGAATAAAGTTCCTTGGAGCTCATCGAATATTTAGTAAATAGATATGTTGTTATTTTTACAAGGTTTTTTGCAATCACTTTCTTGTTATACTTTTTATTTGTTTATTTACTTTTTGCCTTTCCCTTTGCCTGTCAACATAAAAACAAAAACAACAAGCAAGGGCAAAAATGAGGGAGATAAATAAATAGATATGTAGGTGTGACCTCTATTTCACTACCTATTTACATAAGTACATACAAATATACCACTTTGTGTAAACATACAGTTTTTCAAATGGTAAAATGGTAAATACGTACTACTGTTTCCCTTATTTTCTGAACTCCACTTCCTGACCATTTTATTTATGTTTTCATGCTTTTTGTTTTGTTCTCATTTTACTACCATCTGTTGTAAACGACGGGCCTTTGTTGCTCCACTTTTTTTTTAGATTATTTGGATCTGACACTCATGCGCGGTTGCTCGCCATTCAGGAATCTTCTAGAAATGCGTTTCGTCGCTAGCTGAGATTGGCTGCGACCGGGTGGCTAATTGCGCTGCTAGCTAACCGGGTTCACTTTCATTGTGCAATTTCAGCAAAATGCTCACAAATGATTGCATGGACATAGTATCTAGCATGTGTGTGTAGAGAAGAAGTGTTTGTTTCTTTCTTGGTACGCCTGGTGGCTGGTAAAGTTCCAGAAGCCCGGTGCAATTGATCTGTGTTGTGTATGCGTATGGAAAAATACCGCGCATAGCTTTTTTATTTGTTATAATTTTTCGCTATACGATACACAGCCTGGTAAATTGCAAAAAAGTAGGCAATAATAAACAAAAGTGGGCAAACAGATTTGTATGCATAGAATAAAAAAAAAAATAAAATGTGTGTACATATGTATGTATATACAGTAGCTCCAAGTGAAACTCGTACACCAAACCATTTACATTCATCTTTTTTATAACTTTAAAACTAAAAAAATTACACCTTTAAGTTTTCTGCCCACTGGTCGTCCAACCACAGTTGCTTTATCGTTGCAATCATGATGTAACGATTACACTTTCGCACACTCGGTCGTTATCTTTCAATTCACTCAGCGTCTAAATGTTCGCTTAGAGCAGGACTAACCTCTCCGCGTGCCTTCCGATGGCAACATGGCCTGTTCGCAGACCCACAGCTGTGGCTAGGTCCCCTCTGTTCAGAATGAGCAGATACTTTGGCCACGTAGGCTTCATATTGTTGCAAGTGGTGAGGCTAGCCGCCCTGTCCTTTGCTAGTTCAAGAGATATGCCCCTTAAAATGAGCTTGCAGGTAGTGGAGCGGATGTGCCCTCTCTTTCAAGTTCATCTGCCTTTTTATTGCCTGGTATATTCCGGAGTGATCACTTTTCATCAGGAGCCCCTTTTGTCCAGAATTTTATGTCTGCAATGGAATGGAATACCACTTTGTGAAGTTCAGACTTGTTGCACAGTAATCCGTGTCCGGTATATTTACGTTCTTTAGAATTGCGTTATGGCCATCCTGAGTGTCTCTCCAGCCTGGTAGTTTCCTCAGCCTCAAGGCAACACACCCCGCTTATTGTTTTCCAACAATTTCAATTAGCAAAATATTGGGCAATACGCACATAGCCTCCGATGGAGTTGTGGACAGAGCATCACAGTTCTTTGCACCTTTTGAAGTGGTTCAGTTGTAGATATCCTGTTGAGACCTGGCCACCGTGTATACCCAATACATGATGCTAAGGGACAGCCTCCATCTACGTCCACTACTGTTGCTTTTGTAACACGCTCTTGTACATTTTGTCCCCAGTTCAGCTTTTTGTCCAGTACTAGCTTCAAAATCTTGTTGCCTATGACAGGGAGCTGTATTGAGGGAATTTTTTACTTCCTGGTAAAGAGCACCAGGTCAGTTTTGCCCGAGTTAACACCCAGGCCTTTCTCCTTGGTCCATATTTCAATTGACCTTAGTCTGTGTATACGCGAATAAATATGTTTTGTTCCCCGTACGGATTTCGCTTCGAATTACTGTATATGCAAATGTATACAAATCTGCAGCATGAATGGGCTGTCAATTATACTATACGTATGTAGGTATGCACATATGTATGTATGTATGTATATACATATGTACATGCATATGGTGCAGGGGAGGGCAACATTGGCGTTGTAGTTCCAGGCAACAAAGGGATGCCCTCCAATGTGATTGAAGTTGTCATCAACTTCATATGGAAAAATATACATTTTTTATGGTTGTATAGACATACATATGTATGTATCTATGGTACTTTTCGTAGAGAGTGATAGATGTAGGTATCTTTCATCGCTGGATAGTTCTGGATTATTCTTCCGCTCTCACAAATTTAATAGAAATTTATGTAGGCAAGTCGCAGTTAATGGTGTTCTATTAATTTAATTTGAAGATGCGCTCTGATTGCACTTGACGAGATGACATATAAGATCATATATACATATGTATGTATGTATATAAATCAACGTCATAGCATAATTTGCATAATATGCGTTTTGTATGTGTTTATTTAGTTTTGTCAGTTTCATGAACATTTGATTTTTGCGTTGCAATTAATGTCGAGAAACAGTCACTTGTGGCTGGAATGCACACCTCCTTGTCTGACCTTCACTAACTTGCTTGCGTCCTGGTGTTTAAAAAAGACAATGCAATCTGCATATGTACAAACACGCATACATACATATGTATGAATCTTTTTCTTCTCTGCCGTTTGTCATTGGTCGAGTTAAATAAAGTATGCCAGCCTCTTCTCTTCTGTGCCAGCCTTTGCTCTTGCTAGTTGAAGATGCCAAGTGAAGCCAAGTCTATGTCCACCTGATCTTTCCATCGCATGGCAGGCCTTCGTATTTCTCTGCTACCACCAGTGGGTACCATACCCACCATACCCTCACTCCCCTACAGACCTATTCGCTTTGCTTCCATATTCAACTTGGAAAAGGCAGAAAAAATTTGGCCGTTTATGTCGATGACATCGATATCAAAAACCGCGAAGTCTGTTCTGCCTTTTCCAAGTTGGATAAGGAAGCAAAGCGAGTGGGTCTGGTGGTAAACGAGGACAAGACGAAGTAACTCCTGTCATCAAACAAACAGTCAGCACATTCACGCCTTGGCACCCACGACACTGTTGACAGTTATAATTTCGAGAAAGTAGAGAATTTCGTTTATTTGGGAACCAGCATTAACGCCGATAATAATGTCAGCATGGAAATCCAACGCAGAATCACTCTTGCCAACAAGTGCTACTTTGGACTGAGGAGGCAATTCAGGAGTGAAGTCGTCTCTCGGCGTATGAAAACCACACTCTATAAGTCTCTCATCATGCCTGTGCTGGTATATGGCGCAGAAACATGGACAACGACAACAACCGATGAGGCGGCTCTTGGAGTATTCGAGAGAAAGATTTTGCGGAAGATTTACAGGTCTTTACGCGTTGGCGACGGCAAGTACCGCAGACGATGGAACGATGAGCTGTATGAGCCTTACAACGACATGGACATGGTGTAACGAATTAAAATACAGCCTCTCCGATGGCTTGGCCATGTCGTTCGAATGGACACCGACGCTCCAGCTCTGAAAGCATTCAACTGGGAACCCGCTGGTTGTAGCTGTGGAAGAGGGAAGCCTCCACTGCGATGGAAAGACCAGGCGGAGAAGGACTTCGCTTCACTTGGCATTTACAATTGGCGTCAGTTGGCACGGAAAAGGAACGACTGGCGTGCTTTGTTGAACTTAGCCAAAATCGCTTAGGTGGTTACAGAGCCAAATAAGAATAAGAAGAAGTAACTGATTCTGTGCCATTCGGCGCATATGGCGGGTTCGTCTTTTTTTGTGAATAGGGTAGAGGATGTTGATCAGCAGGTCGCCAAAGTTTTTCTTAGAGGAATTCGCCCTTATTCTTGCAATGTTCCGTAAGACTCCTAGCTAATGTTTATAAAGCTGTGTTCCGTTAATCCTGAGCAGTGGCAGAGAAAGATTGCAACGTTTTCGATTTCCTCTTCGACCCTTCAGTTTCGACAGAGTCGTTTTGTGGATAGCCCATGCTACCTTCATGTGTTTCCATTAGGCAAGGAATGGAGGCGACTCCAACAACTACCATGAGTATAGGGCGTTTTAGAAGAATGAGTGCGTTGCACCTACTTTGTCGCATCAAGGCCAAAACTGACGATTATAAGAAATGTGATTCGAGTTGAACATTTGTAAACACATTTGAGGAGTTTTTTGGTATTTGTTGGCTTCCAGCGGGTTCGGTTTCCAATTTCGTAAGCGGTAATAAATATTTTTTTTATTTTTTTCTGTGTTTGGTTTTTCTTAATTACGAAAAAGCATCTGTAAATTGCAGAACTAAATCAAACGACGAAAAGAATTGCTTTTAGTTGAATATTTGAAGACACATTTATAAAGCGGTTGTAGCTGAATAACTTTCAGAATATGCGGATTCAAATCCCGTCAGAGGTATTATGAAAAGGGATCTGTGAAGTGCAGAACATTGGCGTATTCGCATGAAAAAATCGGCAACCAAAAATGTATTTAATGTAAACAAAAATGGGGTTAATATTACCAAATCATTGTTGAAAATATTACCCAAGGCATTGTTAATACATAAATATTAACTAAAAAAATCACGTTGATTCCTTTTCAAGTTTGAATTTGGTAATATGTATTAACCAATTTTTGGTTGTTTTTTTTCTCAATGTATGTTTGCCAGTTCGATGAAGTAGGCTTTTGCGGTACAGGGCCAGCTCATTTGCCTCAAAATTACCTTTTATATCTCTGTGTCATCCTGCTGATGCACTTGGATGCCAGCTCGGCTCTTTTCAGCTCTTCGCGCTAACGGATCTCGGTCTCCCTCTTTTTATTACGGGAGTGCAAGAATTGTACCGGTAATTTTTTTTAATTTCTTTTTGGGGTTTACACCATCCGGTTAAAAATTATGATTCTCTAGAGAATTTTATTGTTGTAAAATTGGAAAAAATATATAATCCCATAACCCATACTATATATTTTTAAGCGACTTCAAAAAAGGAGGCGGCTATCAATACGGCGGAATATTTTTTTATGTATGTTGCCGCATAACTTTGGACCACGTTAGCCGATTTCTATCATTATTTTTTTTAAGAT